AACGAAATTCTTCCCGAACAACTTTCCTCCCTCGGTCATATAATCGGATTATCAGCTCGTTTTTCAAGTGATTTCGGGAGAAGAAACGGTAACGAGTTCCGTTTCAAGAAAAGGGTACATTTTGGTTTCGTTGGAAAAATTTTTCGAGACACTGAAAGATCGTGGAAACGATGATTTCAATGGAATGAGGCGTATACGCGTGGCGAAGATGAGAAAGAGAGAAAATAAAGGGGAGGGGGATTGTATTTGAGACGAATACAACGAGCTCCACGACGATTTATGGCGATGGGAATGAAAATCGGGTGATTAGTCGGATTAACGAACATAATGAAGAACGAGGCGAGCCACAGGAAATCGGCGTCGTTAACGAAGAAACTCGTTGTCGGGCAGTGATTCGCGTTAATCGTCCGTTAAGACTGCCGATCCGGGGGTACGAGTGTAACGGGCCTTTAACCACGCTAATTGTCCATCATCCGTTTAATTTGCCTCTTTCGAAAATCCAGGCCTTTATTCGAAAGGACAGGTGGTGGATAATTTATGAAATTAATGGGGAAAAGTGAAAGAGCAATCCTTTTTCCTTCCCTCTCCGCGAAATTAAATTGAATTCTACTAAATCACGTTCTGTAAATTCTACGTATATAGAAAGACCGAAATTTCTCGTTCAATTTTTTTTATTACTTTACTTATCCGTATTTTATTTATTAAACATTTTAATCCCCCCTTCCTCAGCATGCGCATCCTTGCATATTAAAAGATTCAGGTATTAATAATTAACGATAATCTGATAAAAGACGACGAGTCGCGAATGAATTACGAGTTTGGAAACTCTAAGTAGTACAAGTACGTGCTTAGTCAGACGCCTGTATACCGGATTGCTTAATTAATTACCATCGAATCTTGGAGCAAATAAAATATACATAAGAGAAATTTTTCCTTATAAATATATATATATATCTCTCTTCGAACACTATTCCTAGAAAACTCGAAGCGTATCGATCGTGTTACGTACGTAATGAGCTCACCTGTTCATTTCTCACACCCCCTCGATCTTTTATCATCGTGGAAAAATATATTGATTCTTCGAGGCTTCTTCGCTCGTATTCCGTGTCCTTTCAGATATCGCGAGATTCGTTCGTTTTATTCTGGAAACGAGGATCGATAAATTGATGTGGGGGGAAGCTCGAGGCTCGAAGAAATTAAATTACCCGGTGGTAGCTGACGTGTCCAGCGTGATCGAGACTGCGGCAGAATCCGGTGTGCCGTTTCGTTAATCCCTCCTGGGGCCGATAAGCAAGGCATTACTCCCTCGTAGATTTCTCCATCGAGCGAATAATTACCGAGCAAAAGCAGGAAACGCGGCGAGTAGTTGGCGGATTTGGCAGGGGTCGTGCCATTCGAACACCCCGCAACTCGGGTGTGGAAAGAGAAATGGGTCGCAAGGGGCTGGTTTAAACACGCTCTTAATTCTCAAATTCAAAGTTGGACTCGCAAAATAATCGCTTTCCATTCCGTATCCCGCCCGCTGAGATTCCTGAGCTGTTGTTCCACATTTTTCAATTAACGTCGTTGAACGTCGTGTTTTTACGTTCGACCGGATAAATACGGATGGAGGATTACGCATATTATATTACGTGCAATGGAAGATTAATCGATTTATCGATTATGCAACGATTGATCAGGTCTCGGTTGGGTTTCAGAAGATGGGCTCGGTCCACGGCGAGGAATTGCCATTCGTCTTCGGGGCACCGTTAGTGGACGAGTTGGGACACTTTCCGAAGAACTACACGAGGTCTGAAGTGGCACTCTCCGAGAGCATCGTGCAGTTCTTTGCCAACTTCGTCAGAACTGGGTGAGTAGAGATCGATAATTGAAGTACCCTCCCTTTCTTCCTCCTTTTTCTTGCGAACGTTAAATTGGATAACCAAGTTCGCTTTACATTTTCTTCGCCAACTACTCTCCAACATTCTTCGAACCGCCAGAAACCACCAGGAAAATTCGAATCTCGATCAACCAAGTTCAAATTATTCCTAATTAATAGGAGTATATAATAATCAATCGTGCATCTTCATCCCTTTTCTAAGGCAGAGACGTATAGATATTTCAACTACGACTACGAAGCAACAGCGCGTTACCGATTACCAAACTTTACAAATTATGCCCCACGCGGAAGATAAGACCGACAAAATCTGTCGATACGGCGGTAAATCATTTCTCTCTCCGAAATTTCATTTCTCATTTCTCGAAATCGGACCACGGTGAACATCGGTGGTGTATTTTATTTACGCGACATCTCGTTTGATTCGATCGTCTAATTCTATGGGAACCGAATCCTTCCTTCCTCCTCCTCCTCTTCCTCCCCCTCCCCCTTTTCGAGGGGAACAACAGTGACGCGGCGCCACTTGCGTCGAATCAATTTGCGAATCACTCGGGGAGTGGAGAGAGAGGAAAAAAAAAAAGAAAAAAGAAAAAAGTGGAAAGAGGGAGGCAGGCGGGTTATGGATCGCGTCACCGAAAGGTCTGATTTTCCATATTCATGAACGATGCGGAACTGAAGAGCAAAAA